CATACTGGGAGCCTACATTGCAGGTACCAGGCTTAGGGCTCTGGGTTACAAACAAGAATCAGTGCATGCAGTGAGAGCACTGCACTGAAGAAAGTGAATGTTAACTTGTTTGTACAAGTCACTGATGCTCACAGCCCTCTTTCTTTCCTTTTTATTACCAAGGAATAGCACTACCATGGCGCTGGCTGGCAGTGCTGTGCTCCTTCCCATCCTGCATAATGCTCTTGTTCATGTCCTTCATGCCTGAAACACCGAGGTTCCTGCTGAGCCGGAGCAGGCGCTCGGAGGCTGTAGCTGCTCTGCGCTTTCTGCGGGGGCCACTTGCGGACCACGAGGGGGAGTGTGAGCAGATTGAAGCTGGTGTTCAGGAAGAGGTGGTGAGAATCTCATTTACTCTTGAAAACACCTTTCTGTGTGGGTGTAACACCTGGAAGCAGACAGTGTCATTAAAATGGGGTTATCAAAGCTTCGTTAATAGACCTTTTTGTAAGCGGTGGCCAAACCTGTTTTCTCAGACAAATGATACTCAAGAAGCGAGTGAGATTCTTTGAATCTTTTTCCTCTGCCTTTCAGCTGTCACTGTTGGCTGCCGTCAGTGCACACGAGTAGCAGTCAGGCTCGTGATCTTGGTACGACAGCTATTTACTTTTTTGCATTATTTAGCAATGTGTAGGCTTGCTGCACACCTCTGACTCTATGTCCTGTTGTTTGTGTTGTATGAATGCATTTTCTCTTGTATCTCTGATTGCATCGCTGACCCTGTTGCAAGATGAATGCTTAAATAGGCATTGAAGTTCAGTTTCTGCAGGCTGTGGATTCGTGTTAACTTTCTCTGCAAAGTACTATTTATTTCTGTCCCTAGAACCTGAGAAAAGGGGAAAATGCTTTTCTGGAGTTCTCATAGTCCAGATGTAAACGTTTTTGCTGCTAAGGCACTTAGTTTTGCTAAAGGGGGTGTAAAAAAACTGAGTTTGAACAGATAGAAATGTTATGAGGAGGTTTTTTGTTGCTTTTGTTCTTTGAAACGATGAAGTTTTCCACCAAATCATTGCTTTATTTTTAACAGGGACTGAATGTCTCTGAATTTAAGAACCCCTCAATCTACAGGCCACTTCTTATTGGTGTGGCTCTGATGTTCTTCCAGCAACTCACAGGCATTAATGCAGTCATGTTTTATGCAGAAACTATCTTTGAAGATGCAAACTTCAAGGTAAGTGGGGTCTGCTTCTAAACTGACAAATGTCTGTAATAGTTTCAGCTTAGGCAGTGCTGTAAGGAGCCTGAAACACACAACAAATGACTTGATAATGATCCTGCTGCCTGGGGTGGGAGGTTGGGGAAGTAAGTTGTGTTTTGCTGGTCTGAAACTTTGGTACTGATAGAAATCCATATTATAGGCATCTTCCTATATATTTTTTTTAGTTGGAGTTGCAAATGCAATGTTTCAGAGACAGTGAAACTAGAGGAAGAAGTTGTGGCTTATTTTAAACTTTTTAAGAGGATTGTATGTTGCATTAACTGAGGATGGGGTTTTGTTTGGGGTTTTTCCCCCTGTCCCCTGTTTTCTCCTCCCACCATTAACTTCTTTGGCGTAGTTTGTCTTCTTTCAGATTCAAGTAACAAATGCATTTGTAATGCTTGATAAGTGATCCTCTTGCCAGCCTGAAAGAATAAATTCTCCTTCCCTCTTACTTTCTTTCAGGACAGCAGACTGGCTTCTGTTGTTGTGGGTTCCATACAAGTGTGTTTCACTGCTGTGGCTGCACTTATCATAGATAAAACTGGACGGAAAGTGCTGCTCTACATATCTGGTAAAACATCTTACTGAGTTTTGGTCAGCAAGGAAAATTACCACATAGAGTATCAAAAAATGTCTTTTCTGTTGGGGGAATTAAGTCTTGCAGTTTATGCATTATTAAGTGGTTTGCTTTTCTATTTATAACTTGGTATAGCTATAGGTTTGAACTCGTAAGAAGAAACTATCATAATTATATAGATGTTGCAGGTGGAACCCCTGGAAATCACATACGTCTTTTTGTCTTCTTACCACGGATGTTTCAGTTGGTGCTAAGCAGAGCTTACCCTAAGTCAAGGACTTTCAGTCTCTCATGCTCTGCCAGTGAGGAGGGGCACAAGAAGCTGGGAGGGAGCAGAGACAGGACATCTTACCTGAACTAACCAAAGGGATGTCCCGCACCACAGCACGTGCCCAGTGTAGAAACCGGGGGGAAGAAGGAACTGATTGCTGCTCAGGGACTGGCTGAGCATCGGTCAGCAGGTGGTGAGCAACTGTGTTGTGCATCACTTGTGTTTCTTGGGATTTATTCCTTCTCTTTTTGTTGTTTCCCTTTTCATTACTATTGTTATTAGTAGTAGCAGTAGAAGTAGTATATTTTACTTCAATTGTTAATCTGTTCTTACCTCGACCCATGGGTTTTACCTCTTTATGACTCTCTTCCCCAGCCCATTGAGGGGGGATGGCTGTGTGGTACTTAGCTGCTGGCTGGGGGTAAACCATGACAACTGTGTTGTAGGGCTGGTGTTTAGAATGTGTGTCTGGCACCTTTCACTCCTGTCAAGGCCAGTGTTCATTTCTGCTAACGGTGTCTTTTAAGAAACACTTTGTGAGGGGCACCACATCTTCTGTTTGGCTGACCAGCTGTGTTCTGTCTCTCAGAGCATACCCAAGTGGTAACTAGTGACAACTTGGTTATTGCTTACTTTTCAGGGGTAATCATGGCTCTCAGTACTGCATTGTTTGGGCTTTACTTTAAAATGGTTCTTCCAAATCCAACCAACTCATCAAATCCTGACGTATGGGCCGCTCTTAATTCAGCATCGCCAGGAGCAGAAAGCAGCATATCCTGGCTTGCAGTGGTGAGCCTGGGCTGCTTTGTTGCTGGTAAGTGGAACAGGCGTCTAAGCAGCCATTACACCAAACTCAAACTTTCTGCTCATGTGAGGGGTTTGTTCCATTTTGTCACATTACTGATTAATGGGAATGAGTTGTGTCTCTGAGACTTTTTCAGGGTATAATGCAAAGTTGGGCTGAGCATTCAGAGCCGTGGTGGGAAGAGCTAGGAGCTTAGTTAAGCCAATTCCCTGCAAAAGGAATTTATACCTCCTTGTGCTAACAGTGAGTAGTGATTGCTCAGGTTAAATTGCTTTGCTGTTAATGGACAAACAGACTTTGTCAGTGTCTGAGCCACACTGAATTCTGTGATAGCACAAAGCAGCAGCAGTAAGAAACAAGATTGGATTTTAAGCTTATCAGTGACTTCATGGCAGGAAGCCTCTCTTGTTAAGAATACTTGTCATTAATTTGCTGTAAAATGCACTGGGATTTATCACGCTGCCCTAAAATAATCTGCTCTCTTTCCTTTGGGCAGAGGTACTGTGTTACTGGAATCGTCCAAGAATCTAGAGTGAAAATTGCATCCCCTTTGCTTGACTAACTCGGGCATCATTCAGTCATCCCTTTAATATATATTTAACATGCATTTATTCTCTTCTGTTTGTAATTGCAGGTTTTGCCCTTGGCTGGGGTCCTATTCCATGGCTGGTGACATCCGAAATCTTCCCCCTTAAAGCTAGAGGCGTATCAAGTGGTGCTTGTGTATTAACAAACTGGGCTATGGCCTTCCTGGTAACCAAAGAATTCAATGATTTAATAGTAAGCATTTGGAATTATTCTTTAGAGATGCTCCTGAGAGGGGCTTGAGCCAGTCTTTTCAGGCAGTACAGAACTGCACTTGTACACTTGTGAGCTCTTAATAATGTGGGGTTTTGTTGTCTCTCCTTCAGGGTTTCTTAACATCCTATGGCACGTTCTGGCTCTTCTCTGCCCTCTGCTGCCTCAACATAGCTTTTACAGCCTTTTATGTTCCTGAAACAAAAGGACAGACCCTGGAGCAAATCGAGGCCTACTTCAGAAGATCCTGAGCGTAAGGCTTTTTATATTGATACGAAACCTTTATATCGAGTTACGGTGCTGCAGCTGAAGGTAGCTGCATCGCATGGCAGACATCTCAGTTACTGAACTGGCTAGCAAATCATTTTAATGAGTTCTGCTAAATATGAATTCTGGTTTTTTTAAACACTGTCTCTGGGGATGTGCAGACACTTTGCATAGCCCCTGCTCAAGTCTCTCTCCGTGGGTGTTGCACACATTCTTTCTGATTCTAAGATGTAAATTAAAATCTAATTTTGTAAGTAAATAGATTTAGTTTCCTTGCTGCACTTTACCTTTCCCTTATGGCACAGCTTACAGTGAAGAAATGAATTACACAGCCTGGCTCATGCTAAGTTCAGACTGCAGTCCTTTACCTTTGTGGTGCTGCTACTGTTTCTGGGATGCCTGACCATGGAATAAGTCTTGGTCCCAATAGGAGATGAATACTTGGATTTCATGAGTGTTAGTGTTAAATTGACCTTACTTTTTCATATTGCTGTCCAGCTAGCCAGGAATACATCAAAATCACAAGAAGGGGTGTAGCTCTTAGGAATAATGTATTATAGAATTAAAGAAAGAGCATTTCTTTTTCAAAAGGAGTTACAGTATATTGCAGCCAGAGAATATACCCTTAGCCAGAAAAGGAGAAAAAACTTGTAATTTAAGGGGTAAAGATCTCCAACTGGAGGAGGTCTCTGAAAGTCTAAAAGATGCCTGGAAACACAAACCAGTGCTTGATTATAGTTCTTGTCAAGGATGGGTAATGCTTAAGACACAAACACCAGTCCCCCAGGTATGATAAAGCACTTAAATGAATGACATCTCTGAAACACAATTTCTAGAGAACTCAAATGGAAACCGTAATGCAGAGCTGTCTGCAGTAGTTCTGCCTCCTGCCTGCTTAATGTCTTGTCTGATAACTTAAATTCAGAATAGTCATTAGTTCTGCATGTGTGGAAAAAAAGGGAGGTCAAATTTACGATTCATTCTGTATGAAGGAATAAATCTGCTACTCCTTCATAAAGGTGATAAATGGCACTTAAAACCGTTCCAGCTGTGATAGGACTGTTTCTATTTGGAAACACAAACTGTACACGCCGTCACATGACATTAAAACCAGTGGTAATACAGCAGCAGTTAAGACAAGTGGTAGGTAAAGAGATTGTGTCACAAATGTAGCAACAGTCTTAACAATAGGCAATTACTGAATTACAGAGCAGTCTGCTGACATTCAAAGACTTAGTTAAAACTGACACTCCAGGTTGATAACACTGTTTGCATAAACCTTTAGAGACACAACATTTTCCATTCAACCAGATGAATGCCTAACAGAGCTAGAAACCAGGATGCAGAAAATAATCTCTCAAATTTGCTCTTTAACTCGTGTGCTGATGTCATGATTTCCAGTAGCAAACAGGAGTCAGCTGCAGGTCAGCAGCAAGTGAAGCAGGTAGGCAGTGTACAGGCTGGTGAAGCTGCTGTGCTCAACTAGTACAAATACTTTCTAACCCGCATGCAAGTACAGATATTTGCTGCATTCTGTCACATGGGCTTTCCTGTACTGTTAGTACAGTTTATTCCCCCCACAAAATCAGGCTAAGCCTATCTGAGATAACACTGCTTCGACCGTAGCAAGCATTGTGTGTATGAACCATGCCATCAAACTGGTAGTAATGACAACAGCGTGGTACTCATTTTCATACACAGAAGGCAACAAAAATTACCTTATCGCTTGCAGATGTGGCAAGATCACATTACTTTAGATTCCTATATATGCTTAGGACTTTTAATCCCTTAAAACTTGTGGTAAAAATTACAAATATACACACAAGTATATATATATAATCCTTTGGATTTGGTTTTTACTGTATCTCAAATGCAGACTAAGGCAACAGCTCTGGGAAAGCTGCTGCTCAAATTAGAGACCCACACCTTTAGGAAAACATGCAGGAGTTTGTATCCGTGGCTTGGTCAGAGAGACACAGACCAACAGAAAGTAAATGGCAGGAGCAGCACCCTGGACCCTACACAACTGGTTATGTAGCAGTGTTACACTTCCCATGGGTGCTACTGTCCTGCTCTATTAAGAACTGTTTAAGTATTGATTCAGTTGACTGGCCTAGTAAAACTCAACCATCAAACAAAGCCATCCCCCAACAGCCCAAGAAACCAACCTGAAAACAGCAACCCCAGCCCCAAAGCAGGGCAGATCCATAATCCAAACAGGCTCTACTTGTTCCTTGCAAACTGAAGGTACCCATTCGTCCATTCAGCCTAGGGGCACAGGTATGGGTTCTGGACTAGATGATCTGCAGGGATCCATTCTAACCTCAACTGTTGTGTGATTCCATGAGTCACTACCCATGCTGGTAAGGAGGCACGAGTACACTCTATACACTGCCTGTACAGTCTAATGCTTGCACCAAAGTAAATGACATTCCTGTAGTTTGGTCAGACTAAGGCACAGTGCTGAAGTGGTGACAATCCCATTAGCCAGCAGAGGTTAAGAGCCCTGCCTCCTCCAACAAATCCAGCATGTTGGGATAGTAAACATTTCTTGCAGAAACTCATAAGAGTCCAGAATGGGCCTTCAGGTGAGCCTGACAGCAAGTGTCCAACTTGGTAACAATCCTTCCTATATGGAAAGGATTTCCATCCATCTGTAGCAAGGTTTTCCAGTATTCCTCTCTATTAGAACAACACCCATCTTATACAGCTGTAAATTAAAGGTTATCTGCCCTCCCATCCATGAGCTGGTCAGCCAGCGTCAAGAATGCAGGCTAAAGGCAGCTTTAACAGACATGAAAGCAGGAAGGGTTGTGCTTAGGGTGGACATGGCTACAATTTGTGCCCACAACTATTTCCTAAGTTCTAATGAGCAGATGCATGCACATGCTGGAAAAGCAGAAGGGAAACAACATGGCTCTAAGGCTGGAGTGAACAACAATATAGCTGTGCACACCAGCAGGCTTCCAGAAAGCCTTGTCATCTACCACCAGTCTGAAGCAGGAGAGGTTGCATAGATGCATAAAAACCTTGCCCTTTATAAATGGTGCACAAGAGCTTATGTATCAATACCACCCATTGGCACTGACTTTTTTAATTGGAATTAGCAGTCAATGGTATGTATTTAAGACAATGTTTTGAGCGAAATAGTGGTTAGAAGCTAGTTCAGAGGATGCCAATTCATCACATCAAGAGGCACAGAACTCATGGGCGTCTGATGAGACACACTCTCTGGAAATAACGTTCTCACACAAAGTTACAAGCTCTTGTAAAGACTTGGAGCTGGCACTTCCTTTTAGATGCTTGTTAAGGTTCACCCCATACATCTATGGGTGCAAGAATACTAAAATCATAGTAGCCACTGGTTAATACTGTTTCTGCTCCTAGATTAGTTACTGCTTAAAATATTGCTTCTTTCCTTATCAGCCACTCCAGCTGAGAGTAAGAAATGATCCTTTCAGATAAGGCATTGTGTATTTTCTTAGGTGAAGCAATTAAACCATTATACACAATAATCTGGGCAAAAAAAATACTTTGCAAAAACAGTTTTACATTCAGACAGACTGAAGCAAAAGGCACACATCTCCAGATGGTCATGCTTGGAAAGAAAGTGAAATCATTACACGGAAATGGTATTATAAATTAAAGTCAAGGATACAGAAGTATTTCTACATATATAACAAGAAATACCTGCTAGTAAAGGTAAAATCTTTCTATATATATTAAAAGCCTGGAAGCATCACTCTTTCATGGAAAAACAAAACAAGCAAAACAAAATCCCCCCAAACAAACCCAAACCCTTTCAAAATAAGGTTTAAAATAAAATTATTGGCATAAAGGGCCGAAAAATAATAAGCTTTAAAAATGAAACCTTGTCCTTTAACGTAACAAAATGTTTAAGATGACTGTTTCATCATAGAAAACTAGCTTCTTAGCAGTGCAGTTTCCATCTGGATCTAGTTAGAAAAATGCAGTTATCTGGAATAATGACTTACACTGTTGGTGCAGGAGCAGACAACAGCTAATGCAGTGTTCCAGGAAATGGAGAAATGCACTTGGTTTGGGTTTTTTTGCTTAGTGTTGGGTATTTTTTTGTTGTTTGGTTTTTTTTTAACTTCCAATTCTTAAAAGAATATTTTGAGTTTGTGTTTTCTATAAAAAGTCTCAGTTCAAGGATTCTTGACACCAAAACAGTTTTCAAGTTTCTCTAAAAAATACGCATGGACAGCAAAGGAAGCAGCATCTTCTTATCTTACCTGTTCTTTATAGAACATCCTTGATTCTTCACTGAACATACCACAGCTCCATCATTTGGAGGACAGACTGACTGGTTGGAAAGACCTTGCCTGCAAGCCTTTGGTTTGGTTTGTTTGTTTTTTTAAAGGCTTGAAAACCAAAAGGAGTGATTTATGTTGTAAAATTCCTCTTCCCTTATGACACACACTGTTGTAAAACAACTCAAGATAGTAATAACAGTATTAACTTAGCTCTTGTCACTCAGGTACTTCAAATTACAAGAAGCTCAGAACAAGTAATACTTTTTATTCATTTTCAGCCTAAATCTCTCATGAATTACCTACTGTTAGAATTCCACAAAAAGTAATGGTTCATTAACTGAGAAAACAAAACATACCTATGTCAAAGATATAAGCATCACCAAATCAGGCTGAACTATCCAGAACAACATGGGCTCTATAACGATTAATCACCAATACTTCCAGCCACATTTCACCACTAGAAGCAGTGTTTGTGACGTTCCCACAGAGCTCACAGAGTTGTAAGAAAATGTGAAGTAAGGAGGAAAGGTTTTAAGACTGTCTTCACTTCAAGTCAATGATGTCTTCATCGTATAAAGAAATGGGCTGAAAGGGACAGCTAGATGGTGAGCTCTCCTCCCTGTTGGCCAAGGTATCTGGATCTGAACTAGTGGAAGGATGACGTCCTTCAGAACAGCTTTCGAAAGAGCTTGAGATTATCCTGCAGAAAGGAAGACAGAAGTCACTAAAATACACAGATCAGGGCAAGTAGGATCACTAGCTACTTCTAGATTTAATCAAGTTATCTTAAAGACAGAGACAGACCATTAAAACTGAGTTTCTCTGGTTTACTCTGCTCAGTATCACCAAAAGGCAATTGTTAATGAAGTCCCTGCCCAAATAATTTCCAAATAGCACAATCAATCACACATGATTTTACATTGCAGCAGATTTTGTTTCATTAATCTCAGTCTGCTGTATCTTGGCTAAATTCTGTCACTGCTCTACACAAACGTAGGTTACGAGGCAGTGGAAATAAGAGAATGGCAGTGGGGTCAGGTAAGCAGAGCCAGACCCACCAATGCTGTGGTATTTCTTTGGAAAATACATCCTGGAAATAGCAACACAAGAGCATACACAGAAACCAGCAAGTGACCTGCACAGCGCAGACCTAGCAGTCAAAATCACATTACAGGCTCAACCACAGCAGGTCCCCACAAAATCCCATTTAGTGCTGCTTCGGTCATTAACATGTCTTAAGCATGAGTTTAGGTGGAGTTGTTTCAACAGTATTCAGATACTCTCAAAACACATTAGCATGAAACTCACATCAGTGTACAAAGGTCTCAGCACCACACCAAGGCAAGCCTGAGCAATCAATTCTGAAAGCATTTACAGTCCAACAGGTTCTTTTCTAAAGACAGTATTTACCTGTCACTACTGGTTGATCTTACTGCTCCCTGCTTAGGGTCTGACTGTCTTCGAGGAGCCTTTTTTTGCTTCTGTGCAGTTTCTGTCTTGGGTATAGGCTCATCCAAGAGGCCTTAATAAGGGAATAAAAGTTACTCTTAACAGAAAAGCAAGCATCCAGGAAAAAGTTAGAAGTATCTGTTGCTGGTTTCTATTAACTAAAGAGCTTCTACCTGGTTTAGAATATAATCTGTGATCAGATGCTGGCTAGACTACTTGCAAATTCTGAGAGTTTCATTTGTTTGTTCGTACCTCTTAGTTATGAATACGGGTTGCATGTTACAAATCTGACTGTGATGGCCCAAAGATTAGAAATTCTGTACTTAGCAATTGCTACGTGCACTGAAGAATGAGGAGCGTTTACCCAGCAATTCTTTGCGTGTTCTGCTTGCAATTTCTTTAATTTCCATACGAGATAAGGATAATGAGTGAGTAACTGGCATAGAGGGAGTGCCACTGGAGGTTGTAGTAGTGATGACCTTGGGAGCCAAAGGTGACTTCAGAGGTCGTTCAATGCTTCGCCCAACCAGGTTACTGAGAGGAATTTTGTACAGGTTTTTGCATGGAACTTCACCTGCAACAGGAAAGGAAAAAAGAATGTTACATTTTCACAACAGAATCAATTCTTAGTATTTCCAAACAAAAATTATACTCATTGTGCTGGGTGCTTTTTAACCCAAATAACAAAGATCTTTCTTGCATTATCTACTTGATGAGCCCTTGTTTCTCTGTTATTGTTCCCCTACAGACTGATTGTTCACAGATCATGTTACACTACATTGACTGTGTAAACTCTTTCAAGGCTAGAACTTCTTAACTTCTTTCTTTAGGTTCTCAAAGGAGCTTTAACCATCCAGTGGTAGTTTAGCAACAGTGCTACCACACAGTCCGAACTGAGATACTTATGGAGCAAAAGCTCAGCCAGGTGCTTTATGTCTGTGGAGAAACTGGAAAATCTCTCTCTTCCAGACTCTCAACCAGGAAGTCAAAATCTTCCACCTAATCGATTTCATCTTACTAAAGATCAGATGTGATAGCTGTTGGAATGATCAGAGATGGTTATTCAAGCTGCTTAGAAACCATGTTACCTTCTAGAGAAGAAAGAGGACTTTCTGGCATTTCATAAGCTGTCGGTGTTTGAGGAGAGCTCCTTGAACTCATTTCCTTAGCGCTGCTGTCACACGATCCACTTACTGCAGCAGTCGCTTTAAAGTAAATATCTGACTGAAATGACAAACAACTCATCGTTAGTACAGCGAGACTTTACCTTCTGAGTAGGAGCTCAAATGTTTGTCCACTGTGTTCTATTGCTGTAATGCTGCCATGTCAGCTAGGGTTGGTCATGGAAATGTTACCCCACTATAAGTGTGAGGAACATCTGTGATGTTGAGGATAGCATCTGCCCCATAAATGGTCAGATACCTCGGATCTGCATTACTGGGAGCATTAAAGGATAGTGAGATCAATCTTGATTGTACTTGATATAAACCAAGAGCACAAAGATGAATGGTTATCACAGATCAAGTAGCTCGTGTTACAGTTTTTGGTTGGTTGGTTTTTGGCTGCAGCAACTTTACATGTGAGTAAGATCCCAACACATCACAGAAATAGACAAATGTGATTTTCCTGTGTCTTACCTTTGATGCCACAAGTTGAAGCTCAGGCACAACTGCTGTGTGGACTAAGTTCCCATTCACCACTAATCGGATCTCAATGGAATCAGTAGTGAAGGCAAGGATATAAGGGAAAGCACAGACTGCAATGAAACAAAAATTATTTGGCAAGGAAAAATGGTTAATGGAAATGTTTGTTGGATGCTCCATCAAAACTGTTCTTGAGTATCTGACCTCTTCGGGCATCTCCCTTTCCTATGAAAAGGGTTGTCTAACATACTGATGGACATTGAGCTACATCAAGCCTGAAGAAAACGTCACTCTCCATGCCTGGCAGAACGCAGACTGAGTGGAAAATGAAAAACAGAAAAAAAGAGAAAGGAAAAAAAGTTCAGCAAAGAAAGAACTTGGCACCAAGACTCCACTTTTCAAATTACCATATGCAGAAACTTAGCTAAAGTGGCATCATGAATGCAACATGCTTACTCTTAGCACACATACTGTGATTCCACTAAAAGCCAAGTGCAAATCTAAACAACCACCTAGTAAAAAGAGATCTTTTCTTACCAACAGCATAAGGAACTTGATTCCAGCTGAAATGGAAGTCGTAAGCTGATGGCTGGATCAGTGGAGAACCTCCATTGAAAGGATGTACCTTTCTGTACTGGCAAACATCTGTAACATAAAAAGAGAAAAGGAGCATCCATCACCTTACACTGCACATGACAAACACCCATCTTACAGGCATATTTTCCATATGTGCGGGCATTATATGCGTCATCAAGCATTTATGTAGAAGTCCCTTTATCTAAACAAATAAGGGAAGTGTGCTTCCTCTGGGAACAAAACATTTGAAAGATCAAAATGAAAGGCCTACATTTTAGTAAGTTGTCCCATTCTTTACTTCTTTACTCACATACTCTGTGAGGGTGGTGAGGCACTGGCACAGGCTACCCAAAGAAGTGGTAAATGCTCCATCCCTGGCAGTGCTGAAAGCAAGGCTGAATGGAGCCTTGGGCATCTAGTGTGAGGGGGTTGGAACTAGATGATCTTAAGGTTCTTTCCAACCCAAATTAGTCTGTGATTCTACAAGTGTAGTGGGGGCTCCAGGTAAACATCTGTGACCCTCTCAAATACATGCTGTTTTTAGCTCTTTTCTATTTTTAGGCAAAACTGGATTTTTTTCCTGTAATTGCTGTTCTTAGACTGAATCAAAGTTTATGCCCAGAAATGTATTATAGGTCTTTTTCTAAATACAAACTTAAGCCACTGCCAAATTCTGTGTCCCATTTTATAAAAGGAGATTCAGAGAATTACAATGAAATAATACCAGCAGTGCCAAGAGGCAGGCTGAAGGAAAAGCACAAAGACAGAATGGGGTAGCGCACAGAGGAAGAAGGGGTGGAATTCTAAATTAAATTGTACATGTCTGGCAAAAACCTAGGAAGTGTGTAACTACTTAAAGAATGAACTAGATGTGAAGAAACAGGACTTTTGTGATTAAGGTGGTAACATATATAAATATATACATACCCATCCATATACCTGAAATTAAAACCTAACAGCTAGTATGTCTACATTCAACATACCCTGAAATAATAGTTCAATTTTTAGTCTGTCTAATACACATCTAAATTCAAAAGCATGTATATTGAAAAACTTCCCATGAAACAATGAAACTTACTTAAAAAGACAGATCTAGACTCCAGTGAAAAAGATTTACATATACAGATTAAGGAATTACCATTTTCAACCTTCCCTAAATACTTACAGTTGTAACACAACAGTAAACCAGCTTCACCATCTTCATAGACATCAATAGCTGCAACAAAATTAACCTGCAGAGATAATGGGAAAGGTTAATGAACAGGCACAGAGGATACTGAGATAACCTAACTGAAAATAACCTATTCACAAGGACCATCAAATGAAGAGAGAGACTCGAACTGCCTCTCTTGGGAGCGATGATCATCATGTATTCCAAAAGGAACAAATATCTCAGAGTGCCCTAAAGCAGAGGTGACAAAGTGAAGAGACATGAGGATGTCCATAAATTATCCTTCCAGGAGGCCAGCACAGGATGCACTGAGTCTGCAAAAAATTATGTTCAGTGTGGTTCTGCAAGAAAATAGTCTCAATGTTGAAAACTTACCTTGTTTGTTTCAACATGATGCAGTCTATAGGACTCCCCAGTGCTCTCATTAACTAAATCAAACTGATGCCGATACGCTACACAGATCATATTGTCACTGTCTCCAGTAGGTCCATCCACCAGTGTCATAACCACTGGAGGGTCAGAAAGGCATATCTCCTATAATGTAAATAACAGAATTATTCTCTTTTTTCAGGCTCGTGCTATTGGTGCTGCAGGTACTACGTGAATTTAAAAGGATGTGCTCTAAGAACAGAAACATGAAGCACAAACTTCATTAAAAAAAAATGTGAAAGGTCTCTTTGGCATACACGTGATGGAACTCCATCAGTCGGCTTCTCACTTTTATTTGTCTGGAGGTTCAGAAGATAAACCCCATGTTCTTTGGCTTTCCTCCCCCCAAGGGCTACCCAGTCTGTTAAGGTAATTAGTGGTTAGATCACACATACCCGGATGTACTGGAACTCCTCTACCGGAGATTCAGATGAGAACAGCAGAGAGCTGCTAGTTAAACTGTTGCATGGATTGTATTTCTTTGTGACAAGAAGTAATTTGCTCCGAATAGCCACGACAATCCTCAGTTCACTCCCATGGTGAGTATTAATGGCATACAAATGGCAGCCTGAGGAAATAACGCGCTAGATCAGAAGTCTTTGGGGCAGGGTCTGTTTATCTGTATAATGATTAGTACAACAGGGCTCTGATATATGAATTAGAAACACAATTAAAAACCTCCCAAGAGGATAACGTTAACTTCTAGAAAAAGACAAAAGGCAAATTCTGCAGGCTCCAGATTTCCAAAGCAGCTTGCTTCTGAAGACTAGAAAATGGTTATGTCTACTAATATAACAGATGACATCCAAGTAATCTAAGCACTATTTGATGGAGATTTGTCAGTGTTCTTCCACCTTAAAATATTCAGTCTCACATAATTCTTCTCCTATTCCTCAATCCTGAAAGCAACGTATCTATTTTTCTCTATAGAGTTTTTCATCAACAGTGACTGCCAAGTACCATGGTATTTTCATACAGTTCTAAACTGTCATGCTGGACTACACCAGACTTACTTTCACATCTAAGCTTAACGAAGTTTGAACTGACTGTCCAGAGAAAAATATAAAGGTGAACACCTACAACTGCCTCAAAGGAGCTAGTAAGTCCCTGGCAACTACAAGCATCATACCACAGTGGATGTTTTTAACACAAGAGAAAACAATTACCTTTTGTTCTCTCCAGTTTATTTTCTCTGCAGTCATATTTGCTTCTTATGATTTGCTTTGTTTCTATATCCTTTTGGACAGCACTGAGCCTGAAGACAAGGAGACGAGAGTCTTTGCCTGAAGGATGAAGAAGGACACAGCAAATTAAAAAAATATGATGGTAGTTTGAAATTAATAATTCCAAAGAGAAGCAGCACCTCCCAAACAGATTTTACAGAGAATATCATGAAAGTTTTCTGTTAACTGAGTCCTAATCCTGTCAACCTTTGTAACAATTACGTAGGATTATGAGATACCTGCTCAGAAAGTCTTACAGCTTTTTGCCAACTCTTGGAAAGTGCAGATTATAATGGATGGCTGTGGTTGCTGCCTAGCAATTGGTAGTTCTTGTCAGTCTAAAGTCCCTAACAAGTTTGTGGCATCTTTGATACCTGCTGCATTGGTGCCTTCTTCAACAGCATTAAGTCATTTCCCCAGCATGTTTGCATAACTGAATAAACATAATTCAGTCAAAGAGATTTCCAAGAGTGTCGAGTTCCAACAATGGCAGAAGGAAGACCAAAAGACGACATGACCTGTTTCAGGTTTGCCTTGAAGGAAGTATGAACGAGCATTCAGGGATTCTCCCTCCCAGCCTGTCATAAAATAACAGCAGTTGCTGTATATGCTCCCCTATTCGAAATGAGGCATCTGACACAACTGCCTCATGAGACATACATAGCCAGCACTAGCCATATTCAGATGAGAACAGAATCAAAGAACAGGCACCTCCCCTACCTTTGTCTGTTCGAGCAACCAAAAGATCCAGAGTTTCCAGCACATGCATCTGCTTTACTTGGAGAGTTTTATCAAATACTTGCACTGATGGTTGACCATCTAAAAATGAAACATATACATGTATTCAAAAACCTGCTAAAATTTGCTGGTCACTGGTTCTGACTTGTTTATTTCTTGTAATACAAGCCTCAGGGTTGTTTTTTTTTAAATGAAAAAGCTGATACCTATACCATAGCATCATAGCCAGCACTTGCTCATGGGAGATTTTATCATCGTATGGATCAGATTATGCAACTGAAGCCCAAAAGGGACCTTCCTTTGGAAAGCCTGAGAATTATCACCAAGAACTGACATCATTCTTTTGGTACTGCTGGCCTTGTGACACGCAGAAGACAAGGGGTCAAACTAGCAATATCATCACTATGGAAAAAGCAGGCTTTCTTTGTCACATAAGCCTTTGGTTTCATGCTCACTATTATCAAGGGCTAAGAAATCCAGACAAGCCATTTAAATACTCCTTGAGCTTGGATGTGACTTCATGAGTCTTTTCAGATGGTCAAGAAAACAGCACCTGAAATAACAAAGCATTCAGCAATCTGCATTAACACTGACTGCTCAATATGGCTTGATTCTGGTGCAGTGAGAATTTTTGCAACTAGGTTACTTAAGTGCAATAAATTTACTTGGATTGGGAACTATCCCTGTAGGCGAAGACCTACCAATACCTGAACGCTGCTTATGAACATACATTTTCAAGAAAGTGGACAGATATATACATAAAGATTGACACAATAACACTGAATCATTTACTAACCATCTATTAACAAGATGCCAGCATCTGTAGAAACCAGCAAGGACTGGCCCCAAGAATCTGCACAGACAACCTCATGAGGAAAATTACTGCAGAAAGATTGAGATTCCCAAGGCTATGAAGTAACACAAGGGATACATATTAAGTACACTAGGAAATACAGATCATACAGACACAAAATGTGATGGACAATGGCAAGTAGTAACATAGAAATGTATCCTGCCAAAAAGTATTTACAGCAGTCTACTTTTCTGAATTTGAAATATCAAACTTAATTTTCTCGCAGAGGAAATAATTTCTGTACTTATCGCATCTGGAGACTAGTTAAATGTAAGACACATTCCTGAAACACTGGAATTACAACACATGCAGCTGATACCCAGTATGTATTTTACTTAAACTAAAAACTGTACACTTAAAAAGTAGGTACCACCATGAATATGCAATTTGCTCATATTTTATGGCTCAGTTTGTGATGTTTAGTCACTAGCACATGGTACAGTTAAAACTTTCTGCCAGACTGTTCTTTCATCATGTTCTCTGTACTTACCTCCCAGTACAGAGCCCCTCCTCCCCCAATTTAAATATTAGCTGAAGTCTCTGAGATTCTAGAAGTGCTTCTGAAGCTTCTGTATATAAGTTGCATGCAGGAGAGCGTGGTTTGCACTTCTGACTCCCTAATGCCCTTGAACAAAATCTGGGACTACAGGAAATAAAAACATAACTGAATTTTGTTTTAAACTTGATGCAGAATTTGAACTAAAAGATGACTGCATATGGAAAATGGTACTTTCATCAAGTATTCTCAGATATAACAATATCCACACTTGCTTTAACTTGGGGAGTGCTTCTGCCTCTAGGCTCATCCTTTATTTGGTATTGGCTGCAGAATCACTTTGACACTACACATACCATCTTTGATGCTACAGCACTAATTACAAAAGTAAATATACAGATGCAGGTATGCAGTGCCATACTTGACAGTGTTTAATCTTTTCATAACTCTCTTCAGACAGACAGGTTCACTCACCTCCTTTTTACAAAAGCTTGTGGTTGCCAAGTTAGCTGTCGCATCCCCTTTCACAGTGGTTTTCAATTTCAGTGCCTAATGCAAACAGATGTTTTATTTAAATTGAGTTTCTGTCAGCAATACCCAAGCTAAATACTATAAAGAAAGGACAGTTTGGGACCACAGAGTAGCTTCAGTTTGAAATTCTTGTCACATTTCAAGTAACTGGGGAAGAAACAGAATTCTGTATATCCTGAACAAAGTCTATATGAAATACTAGAGGGCTGCTAGATACCTTCTCAGCCAAAATACACATTGGTTGGGGTTTGGTTTGGTTTGTTTTTTTTTTTTTTGTCTTTAACTTCTGTAAAGTAATTAGTAAACTTGGGGAATAAATTATTGGTTACTTTTATCCGAACATTACAATTACTCAGTTTTTTTTCCTACATCTTCCAGGAGTGACCAGCTGGGGAAAGGGTGAGCAAAGCACAGAGTAGACTGAGATTTCTTTTGTACCAGCTCTCAACCATGTGGGGCCATTACCCGGATCTGGAACTTGTCAGATTCTTCCACTCTTTAGCTTACTAACTCAGATTCCAAAAATGGGAGGGAAAGGAGGAGGCCTGGGTTTTGGTGATGGTGTGGGGGTTTTTTGTTTGTTTTGTTTCATTTATTCTGTTTTGGTTTCCTGCTCTGTTAAATCCTGAGTACCCTTAAGATAAGCAGCAGAATCATGTCATCAGTCCAGGATCAAGAAGAGACAAGCAGGAAAGGACAAGGAAACGGATGAGAGTAGACACTGTCTTTCTTTCTGCTGCAATGAAGCATCAGATTAAACAAGACTAAATCATGATGAAGTTTTACTCCTCACTGAGTCAAAATGTCAGTAAGCCCATGGAAGACTGGAACCAGCATCAGGTATGTTCAAAGCTGTGTGGTAATCTCTGACTTAGCAAATAGACTGTTGAAACGTCTTCCTGGCTGAAGTAGAGCAAATAATTTCTAAGAAATTCAACCTTAATAAAATACATAGAGGAAATCCATGAAACGTTATGCTTCTCCAAAGCACAGAAAAAGACAGAGCTGCTTGGAGGCAGAAAGCATCTGCTGCACAAAATACAGAAAGACCTTTTAGGTTTGATCCTAAGGTATGATTTTTCAAACTTTCTTTAGCTTATGTAAGTATTTGTAATCATGTTGTGTAACTCAGGTGTTACAGATAAATACTTCTATTCATATTTACCTGAATGTAGCTTAAACAAATAATACAATACTACAAAACTATTTCTAACCACAGAGAACTGCATTAAATTCTGACATAACCATGCAAGCTAACCAAATTCTAACAAAAGCAGCGATGCAGCCTTTGTAAACATAGATGCATAGCTCCTAAACTGATCCTACCTGACCAAGTCGGACAAACTCTGCTTGCCGGGCTTCCTCTTTCTTCCGTGTTGATTTTGGTGACTCTGGTAACACATCACTGAAGGATCTTCTGTTGAGCATGTTCTAAACCAGAAAACATTTTTAACTAAACCACAAGTTTTCGTAATCTTTTAGTTTGAGTTAGTGTGGTATCACTTAAATTTTCTTCTTCTGGATATTTTCTTGTAATGATGAATCTAACTGTAGAGCTTTTCAGAGAACAGATAGTGCAGTTCTTTCAATCCATGACTGCTTTACTTTCCAACTTGTCATAGTTTGTCACTGTCACATTCTGTATAATCGTAAGAAAGACCTCGGACATGAAGATAGGGACAGAAAAGTTCAAGCAGATCTATTTAGCTAGGAAAAATAAACAGTGGGGGGAAAAAAGATAGCACCTTGCTAATTTCAGAAGTACTAAACTTCTTTTAAGTATTTAAGAATCACCTTAATAATGTCTTCATCATCTAAAATGAAATTATTTCATTGTTACCCAAGGGTAAAAATGATTCAAATTTACACACAACAGGATGAGTAAGGGCAGTTTTTTTGGTGACAAGACTGATGTCTGTATTTGCAGAGGCTAAATTTCCTGCCTGCTGCAGGCAAGCTTACACAAAGTATGACATTGTTATGCTTCTCCTCACATCTGGATAAACAAAAATGCATGAAAAGTCCTATCTTGAAATGACTGTCTGACAACTTCCATGTAACTGTAAAACAAGTTATATGACAACTGGCATTTAGTCCAGTGTATGAAATCCAGTGCTCATTAGGATTAGTCTTTTAAAGCAACAGAACATTGCATTTACTAGTGAGAACAGGAAAGCACATATGAGGGATGAAACGACTTACATTTACCTTGTGTAGGTCAGGCATCAGGTCTTGGTATAAAGAGCGGATCAGCATGTCCAGAGTGCGCTGACGTTTCTGAGAAAATGTTGGGGTTTCCAAGGTGGCTTTTTCCCCATTTATTACTAAAACATGATGGAAAAGAATATACATTACCTAAATGGTGAGAACTCCCACTGACTCTAGTTTGCCTCTGCATAAAAAAAACCTGTTCTACCCTTAGTAATTTAGAGTTGCCTTTTTTTTTAGTGAATAATGACACCTTAAGTTTAAAAGGGAAAAATAGCAATAGGAGAATTCTACAATAACCACTTAACTAATAATAGAAAAAACAAAGGAAAAAGAAAACACAAATTGCTGATCAATTTAGGTACTAAACCAATTTAAATCTGAGAAATTAGTTATTAGTCAAGTTCTTGTCAGCTAAGCATTAACTGTAATCATCATGATCCAAAAGATTTTGTTCTCGCTGATTTAGCAGGGCAAGTCAGGGTCAATGAAAATGGGAACTGAATCATAACAGAACTGAATCATAACAGAAGTGAAAAGTTTTTATAGGTGCTGAAGGGCACCTATGCAGCATGCATTCAGGAAAGTTTATACTTTCAGGTTCCCAAGGCTGCCAACCTAACAGCTTCTATTCCTAAATATCAAACAGCGTTACAAATGCCTTCAGATCTACAAGTCCTTTAAGAAAATGCAAAGCTAAATATGGCTGCACATTCTGCAGATGAGAAATTCAGATTCTGTCTAGCAGCCCGAGAAGCATAATTGCATAGAAATCAATTTTTTTTGTTAATCTGACTGGAACTGTTTGGTGGAATTGACATCCCACTGATGCTACAGACTTGGAAACAACTGTATACAGAACAAGAGCATACTAGGAAAATGTATGTACTTTTTAAGCATCATTCATTTAGAGCATTTTTTTTAGCAAAAGAAAAACTGACTTACATTTCACTAACAAAAAATCCCTGAATTCCTGGTGATTTGTAAACACAGGTGGGGATGGAAGGGGAGGCCCAAAAAGAGGAACACTTTCTTCTGAAAATATTTTCAGCCTATTGAAAGAACAAATCTTTACCTATATTGAAAGTCACAATCAAAATGCACCTTTTTTTATAGATGCTGTTCAACATAGAAGAACTGCAAACTGTTATCTGGGTATGTCTTAGGGAACAACTCCCATGGGTCTAACAAAAACCATTCACTTGGAATTATTCAGTAGAGCAAAATTCTGCTTCCTTTACACAAACTCATACGGAGTTTGTTACTAACAAGTAAAGCAGAACTTTGCAGTTCTACCCGTAGAACAGTGCTTTTAATGACACGAGCAAAATCTCGTCCTTTTCCAAAAAAGCTGTAAAACAGCTCTTCACCTACAAAACATGTTGTCCTAATAGATTTCTACCTGTGCACTCAGCAAGTACATGATGTATTTGTTTCTTTATGAATAATAACGCCTTACTACAGCTGAATATGTATCTTGGGAATAGCAGATTCATTTTCACTGAGGAACAGAGTCAGAATGACTTCCATGCCAGCTGGACCTGCTGAGTTCTTTCGATCCATAAGGAATCCAGCATGGATCTTGTGTGGTATGCACTATGGGAAAATGTGTCAAGACTGGCAGAATGAAGCAACTAAGGAGTAAGATGGACTCCTCTAGTAAAAGCAGTCAGTTATTCACAGCAAGAGAGGTAAATTTATCTTATTTACTGCTACTCCTTTTCTTCCCAAATAAACAGCAGTGTAAAATGTGTGTTTACCATGGACAGCCCATCTACTGACTATGAGCTTATCTGGTTAAAGCCACTTTGCTCATTAAAGCCTAGGCACAAGGCTGCAGAAATACTTGCTTTTTAGATTCTGATGAGACCTAACAGACTCAGACCTGGATGGCATGTGCCTCCAAGAGTGAGGGTCCCAAGGCTAACTGAAAAACAGATGAACACCACATTGTCTACCAGCAAAATTCCAGTAGGTTTTAAGTATGTGGTGTCCAACTGTACTAGTACTCTATGAAGATCCTAAAAATTAACTGGTTTGCTTACCTACAACCAAACCCAGACCTGTAAAAGGATCTGCAGTCCATGGCTATCACATCACATCTAATTATCACATCACACATGTAGTTCACTGTGTCACTGACCTCACCAGGTCAGAATATTCCAGGCATATCTTCCATCATTTTGTTACATTTCATCTAAAAAGCAGTTTTGTTTTGACCCTTAGCTTATGCCTGTTTCAGAATTTCATTTTTCTGATGGAAACAAGCATCTATTCAGAGCCAGTTTACAGCCACCCACATCCAGGTCCATATTGCCCTTTAATTTCTGAAGTTCATTTAGCTTCCTTTGGCATAAAGACAATACAAAATATTTTTCCTTTCTCTCTAAACCACTAGAAATTCAGTGTGAAGTTATTTGTTACTGTTGTGGTTTATAATCAGCACCTACCTGTAACTATCATTCTGCTTATTGTATCTCACTAAGGCAAAAATATCTGCCATGCAGTTAAGGAAGTTAATCCAGTACTAATAACTCACATGTATTTTAATACAGCTTTTTTTTCCTGCAGCAGATTACAGATTTAATAAAGGTAAATTATATTAATCGATGTAAATATATAAAATATTCTAGACTATACACATTATACTGTTTATAAAGGAGGTCCCATACAAAATTATAACACAGCCTGTAAGTTTTCAGTCCTCATAAACTCTGTCAAAGAAAACAGAAGTCTGAATTAACTTCATTGGCTGTATGGGTTTGTTCCAGATAGAATGAAGAGACCTTTGCCAGCAGCTGTGATCAGCACTATAAGGGACTGCACAATAAAACAGACTTATAATGGGAATCAGTTATTTCAATGTAAGCATCCAGTGCAATTTAGGATGCTTAAGGGTATATTGCCTAGTCTCCAGTTGCTATTCCAAAAGGGACACAGATCTCTTGTAGGCCCTGTGTCATCTCTGCCAGACCTGTACAGGCATGTCAGATATGCCGGGATATCTCAATTGGTGCTGGATGCCTTTACCTGGGTAATTCAGGACTCCACTGACCAGTTGTGGATTACTTAAAATTACCTAACAATACCATATAGTCCTGAGGCAGACTCAGAGACGCCTACTCAAGCAGCTGACGATAAAGAATGCAAGAATGCAACTGTCTTTCTAAAACAGCTTTCACTCCCATAACCAGCATGCAGGAGGGACTTTGGGTAGAATTAAAAGTAATACAAATCTCATAAGTAAATAAGTAAGTCACTAGAAAACGTAAGGAAAAAGATACGTGTAAAATGAGAGCGAATCATGGATGGCTTGAATGCTGGAGAAGACTCTTCCCCTTCCTGAAAGACGATAGTGACAATGTCATTCCCAATGTGTCGCTTCCTTTCTACCTGGAGAAGAAAAAAAAAAAAAAGAAAAAAAGGAAAAATAAAAAAATAAAGGGGTAGGGAGGAGAAACAGACATAATGAATTAAAAAACATATCTAAATACCTTAACAGTTCTGTGAGGGATTGATCAAACAATGTTCCTAAACTGCAAACAGAATAACTGTGATATGAAAATTATGTCTGAAGCCAGTATAAATTATAGTAGCACCAGCTGCTAAACCAGCAGCTATTGCATATTAAATTAGCAAAACACATATTTTCCATAATTTCCATATTTAATATTCACAAATGGGGCACAGAACACCCCATATTTCAAATAAGCAAATCCACCATTTCAAACAAAGGAAACACCCTGATGCTGAGTTATGGTTTAAAAATAATTAATGTCCTGATTGGCTTCTGGTTTTTGCTGTGATCCTGTCTGTCATAAAGCTGATACAATGCATTATCTTCTAACAAACATCATTACATTTTCCGCATTATAATTATTGTTATAATATTGAAAAAAAAAATATAGCAGAAGCCTTAAGGCTTAAATTTCTAAAGTATTAATAGGCAAGAATTCCCTTATTTTCTTCTGAAGTTTTAGAGTTTGTGATTTTAAAAAAAAAAAAAAAAAGAAATAAACAAAGAGAGAACCACGTACCTGCTGTTTGTTCTCTCTAGAATATGGTAGCATAGTTGAAACATGGAACATGATTTCATGCCCTTGAAAAACCGTATAGATGGAAAAGATTCCTGTTGTATCATCTGCAAGGGAAAACAATATTCTCAGCAGGGATATGAACTTTAAGTTTTCTAAAGATCAAAAGATATTTCAGGTCCTTCTACCAAACCTTCTTTAGTCGTCTTTTTCTGATCCATTCTAGAAAATGTTCACACTGCATGTTCTACAGGGGTCCAAACCCAAGTTTGCAACTTGATCTGCACATTCACACACGCACATAAAACCTATGATGTCCTTCACCTAACCTATGATGTCTTACTATCATGAAAAAAGTAACATGTCAGGTATTCTTCACCCCATTCCAATATAAAATGAAACCATTCACCTTGAAAATACAGGTCCTATAAATACTTTTCTTCAACTGCATTCCATACCAGTGATTTAAGCTAACCTGACTTTTTCCTAGTGAAGCAAAGCATTTAGCATCCACATATTTCTGTAATATATACATGCAATAAACAAAAGCATTTATACTGCAGCCCCCCCGACTTTTTTGCTTCAGACGGGTTCTTACTTTTAGTGTCCAGTCCTCCTCTGTAGCCTGTCCAGCCTTTCAAAGTAACTGTGTCACCCAAGAGATGCAAAAATCTTTGAAAGCTTTCACTTCCCATTTCTAGATGTGAAAGGGAGAAATGTTACAACAGACACAAAGCACACACTGTAATAGAACAGCTATAAAAAATAATAAAGATACAGGAATATTCAGATTAATAGAACAATTACTAAAAAGGTGAAAGAAGAAAGCTCACCGTTGCTGAACATTTCATCATCTGTAAGCTGCCCATCCTTAGCATAAAGGATTCCAAATTTAAAATTTACAGATCCCTGAGAAATAACACCAAATATTGTATGATAAATAGGAAACCAAAAGATATAAAATCATGTTTTCTGTAAGGACTTTTATATACATACCTTTGTATACATGTGAATATACAATTCATTCCAACTTCATGCTGACATAGCAGAAATCAAGTCATTTATCTTTGATCATAGATTATGAACTTTATGATATACCAAGTTGGTGTTTTAGTTATGATCTATTAAGTTGGAGCTTAAAATTATTTTTGATCTTATGTTGCAAAGAACTATTATATTTTTTTACTGCAATAGCAATTGATTTCTAAGTTGTCACAAGCATGTCAGTGCATATAGTTTAAATAGAAAGTTGTTTTTGTTGAATAGGTCATGAACCACGAGTGGTTAAGTTTGTATTTACCTCTTGCTCTTCAAGAACCAGTAAGTCCTGTAAACAAAACAGTATCTTTAGCACATTGGTATTAAAGATAACTCAGATTTAAAAGTAACATCCTTGTATACTTAAGTTTTGTTTTGAAGTGTCTAGTTCAGCTGATAAAGACAGTTTATAATATCATGTAACCTTACTCATCCTTCTTATCCTGCTACTGAAACAAACCAGTAGCATTTATAGTTAATGACTTTTTTTTCCAGAAAATAATTAAGAAAAAGAACCAACCAAAAAAAAAAGTAGTTACCTCCTACCTTTTGTATCTCAGGATGAAAGATTTCCCTTGGGCTCCTCTCAAATTTGTCAAGACTCATAGCACTGAAATGCAAATGAAATACTGCTTTAGAGAAGGGCAAGCATGCATTTCAGCATTAAACCACTCACTGGTTGCAGTCAGAACTGGTTACAAAAGGAACTGTTCGAAGAGCCTCTTACGTACTGGTGTCAGGCTTGCTCACTTTATATCCTCTTCTGCCACAAAAGAGGCAGGACAGACTACAAGCATGCCCATACACACTGACCATGAGAAGGAATTTTCTTGGTTTCACTGTGTGTAACACACCCATAGCAAGACTTACATGGAGAAAAATCAACTGAAGAAATATTTATTCCTTTTTTCCCCTGTTTGCTTCCTCCTGCTAGGGTCACATAACCACTACCTCCCTAGTCAAAATCTCTGGTTCCTTAGGTCTGTTAATTCCTATTTAATTTTAAAAGGTATATCCTCACAACCACTGCAGTTCCACTTAGTACCTGATTTCCAATTAACTTGAAAATAGTCCGTTGAAAAGAGTGCTAAGAATTTTTCTGTTTTGTCACTTTGTCTATTCCAAAACAGGCTTTAAAACCACTTTTTGCTGCCTTAATGACTAAGATTTGTAAGCCTGGATTTTTACTGATTTTATAAATCTATCATGAAAACTATACAATACAAGCTCTGAATTACAGAAAAAGGCATACAGACAAATATCTTAACTGGTAACTTATTTGTAAATACATACCTTAATATAGATTTCACTGATAATGTTTTTGTGGGACTATAAGGGAGACATATTTTCTGAGTACCCTATAAAGAAAAAAAAAACTAGGAGCTACTACAAGACATACTGACTTGTTCTGTATATTTAAATAGGAATATTAATAAAACAATTAAGTAAAAAAAAAAAAAGAACACCAAAACTGTGCTCATTTTACTTACTAGTTTGGAAAAACAAGCAAACAAAAAGCCACAAACTGAATGTAAAAAGCCATGGACTGTGCAAAGTTACTTTTATCCACATGCCAAGGTAGTCAAAACTAAGTATAAGGCCTGCTGAAACTATAAAACATTACAAACTATGAACCATGCATGCATACAGCATACAGCATAATTTTAAAATCAATTGCTTGGATAAAGGGCTCTTATGGAATGTTAAGTGGAAACATATTTAATTAAACAATAATACTGAATCCAGTATCACACCTGCCTACTTTCTTAACATTGCATAAGAAAATCCTAAAAGCAGTATAAAGTTATTGCCTAAATTGATCACAGGACATAACCAAGAACAAGTTAGGCAACATTTCTAAAAATAACAGAGTCAAAGGTAAGAACAATTAAAAAATATCTGACATTACAGATTTCTGTCAGAAATTTTAGTATAATGCTATCTACAAAACTAGTTTAGTTTTATCTACTATGGTAGAATTTTTCATATAAATGAAAAATATGTAATAAATACTGAAATTCTGAATAAAGCAGAAAGTGCATGATAAATGTATCCAAAACAAACAAGCAAACCAATATAAAGCCAGAGCAACAGTTAAATATTGGTTTCTCACAGTTTTTCTCCAAAGTATTGCATGGTATTGAGGAACACGCTGATTATTTTGGTCAGACAGTACAACAGACAGAAAGAAAGGGTTCTTCTCTGCATCTGTACCTACGTAATTTTGATGAACTGTTAGGGAAAATCAAGAAGCATTATCAACCATAAAGAAGACACACACACCCCCTCGCATACACAGATGTGTATAGATGTGTAAATATATGTATTCAGATATAAAAATATGTACTCATCTACCAAAATAACTATGTATTTATAGAGAGATGTATAAAAACCCCAAGAGATATGTACAGCCTTAAAGGCCAATGGTTTCAAAACATCCCTTTTTGGTAACAGGGATTCTGCCCCTTCCAGAAACCCTCTATCTTCATGGTAAAAATACGTGAAACAAGAAATTGTTTTCTGTACAGCATGGAAAATGGATACCAATTTAATAATATACTTTTTTTCCCCAGTAATAGCAATTAAAAGCTACATTGCATTTTCATTGATCAAAACTTCAATAAATTCACAAAAAAATAATTACCTTTCCCTAAAAAATATTTGAAATACCATCTTGTATGATATTCTGGGTTTTCCAAATGCACGTCCGTTCTGTGCCATGTGCCAGGAGTGTAGTCTGTATTCTGAAATAGAATTGGGAGAATGTTAGATCAAATGCTGAAGCTGAACCATTTTTTCAGCTTTCTGTAAGTATCTTTAACCACTTACCTCACCAGAGGAGCCATTTTCCACACGGAACCGTCCAGCTCTTTGAATGGCTCCATCAGCATCGCTAGATATAAGCTATAAGAGAGTTTAAGATGAGGTTCTAGTTCCAAAAATAGCCATATGATCAGCAGTCAAAGCTTACCACAGTTTCTTCTTCTCCCAAGCACCAGATGACTACCCACAGAAGGGATCAGCACCGCTATTACCAATTTGACTACAGATTTGGCATGACTCAATTATAACAATAATCAGGTAAGACAGCTGGAGTGTAGCTTCTTTACCTCTCCCCAGTTCTGTTTTCCTACAGTAAGTTTATGTATTTTCATTAGAGCCTTGTCTAGCTTCATTAGAGCGACATTATTTTAACTGCTGATATACTGCTACTTTCACAGTAGAGGAGAAATTTAGATACTAAAAAAATGAAGGGCCAACTTAATCTTAAAATTTGAAGAAAATATAGAATAAGTGATAGATTCTAGGGAACAGCTCTCCATATCCTTATTCTAACTACTTCTTTTTAATTTTAAACCTTCTCCCACTGTTCTAAGGCACATACACATAAAATCACATACATACATAAGTACACGCACAAGCATGCACACAGTTTTTAACCATGTAATTGCAAGTACTTCATAAAATACTAGCCTAATATTTTGCCATCTTCAGCTCATAAGAGGAAAAACGCTCAAATGGAGGTAAGCACAATATTTATATAATGCTTCCTGTCCCATTATGATGAAATATTCATGAACAAGGTAGTGAAAAGATTTCCTAGCGCAGGTCAATATATCTATACTGAAGCTTCCTTTTATTACCCTCTAACTTTCAAGTCCAGCTTAGAAAGCACATTTTTCTGAACTAGATCCAGTTTTTTACCTGGAAATGAAAAGGATCTGAGCTCTGCATTATAAGCTGCTAAAATCAAAGGACAAGCTGTATAAACTTACAAGCTCCACAGATCCGTAATGCTTTCTGCTAAACTCTCCACGTCTGCAACCCAGATCTTCAGAGACAGAGCTGGAATAGAAACACTTCATAAGTGTACACAAGCAACTTGCCTTCCATCTCCTGCAACGCTATACCCTGCCATTAACAAATATCATTCCTGCAGAACAAGGTTTGCAGTGCATAAACTCATTACTGCAGGGAACACTCCTTACAATGTGCACAACCTCCAGCAGCCATTGCAGTCTGGCTTTCATATTATCCCCAAAAGAAAAGAAATGTCTGTCCTGACTGGAGGAAAAAGCCAAGATTAAATTCAATATTTAGTCATAATTTGATTAGAGTTCCAAAGCAGATGGTGGCTTATAACCACATTTGAAAGCTGCATTTAATCTAAGGGAAGCAGAACCAATAATAAACTTAATGCCTCAAACAGGACAACTGCACTATGCTCAATAACCCCATGCTTAGTACTTTGCTACTGGTTTTTTTTTCCGAGTCTTTTTTTTGGACTACACACAAAGATAAACTACACAACTACTTTAATTCAAAAACATAAGGAAAGCATTTCATAGGTTTCCCCCACCAAACTTAACAAAGATAAAATTGTCAGCAAGTAAAAGTAATCCTACCATATGAAGTTCAAAATCTACATGCATTATCACATATAATCTCATACCTTCACATGACATTAAGGACATCACTTCATGAGGTCAAAACGGATAGCAAACACCTCCTCTAACTATAAACACTAAGCCTCCTGCCTTTGCAATGGGCATATATGTGTTACAACTACAAGCTGAATAAAGATTCAGATGCAAATTTAACAGAAACAATTTAACAGAAACAAAATGAGAAGAGAAACAGGATTAAAAACTTAGAGATATATACATTAAAAATGGCCAGGCAGTTCCCATGAGTAAGGCTACTTCAGGTTGCTCCCTGAAAAACAACATGCCCCAAAGATGGAATTTGCAAAGTTTGTGGCATCTGTATCACGTTTGTGACACTGAGGATCTTCAGAGCCTTATCAATTGGATAAAACAACCTTAACAGAGACCAGTGGAAGAAGCTATTCTGAAGTCAGGAAGTCTGAGCATCCAGAAGCAGGTTCAAATCTTAAGTGATCACACCACAAGGACTTCATGTCCAGTACTTCTATACACCAGCCACTACTGCTGCTGGGCCCTTGAGTGAACATTACCATGTAATCATGCCACGGTTTTGCACAGCTGTGACATTGTAGGTTTTCTATTCTTTTTTAACTCTTACAGGAAAATCAAGTAATCGTGGTAGTGCCAGCTTTTTTTTTATGTGCTACTTTTGTTCTACACAATTCCTTTTTATGGGTAGGTGTGCTAGTTACCTTAGAAACCACTGTTTAAGCAATTCCAATCAATGAACACTTGTCACCCTCAGTACTGGTGGCAGAATGCTATGGAAACAGCAGTCAAGAGAGATATTGCTGATGTCTGAAATTCAGCCTTTGATCAAATGAAGAAATGGATGTAAGATGACAATTTAAGGAGTGTGAAAGAAAAAAAAATCAAAATTTAATAATCCAACAACAGTCACTAGCACAACAAATCTCCTCAGGCCTTGGGAAAGCCAGGTCACTGTTGTGTGTGTCTGTATCTGGACAGCTCCACACACAAACATAAAACAAGTTAGAAAGTCACCACAAAGAGCATCTGGCCTGCTGTGTTTTGAACAGAACCATCTCTGCCTGGATAACTTTGAGAGACATTAATCAGTCATGTGATGGCTTCACAAAGCAGGAAAAGCAGCAAGATGAGGTTTATAAAACTGAACTGCTTTTGGTTTGAGGAAAAACCTCAAAATGCATGAAACCAGAGGAAAATGCCATCTTATGAAACACCTGCATGGTAAACCCAGGTTGTTCCAAAGGCATTTTAAACTACTGCATAAACACAAACTAAGTCCTGTACCTTAATTTGGTGACATTTTAGCTGAAAGTCAAACTCCATAAGGAAAAGCATACCGAGATCTGAGCATACTAATGCTGCAGGGATAACAAAATCAGTAGCTAACAAAAAGCATTACAAAATAAAATCTGGAGAATACTCAAATCCAAACATTGTATAACTAAGAAACAGATATAGGTGTACAAAATATGAATACAATAATGTAGCATAATATGGGCTACTGAATTAAAGAACATTACATGACAGACATTAGTATTTTTCCAACACTGCTCTCGCTGTTTAAAAAGCAGGAAGATATTCATTAAAACAACAGCGGTTTAATACTAATGTTCTTATCCATTTGTGTCCCAATTCAAAGTACCTAAAACATACCAAACTTTCAAATACAACAGCAGTCCTTTTAAAAATTGGAATTATATCAAATAGCGCACCTCTGCTTCTTCTCAACCTAACTACTTCATGTCACACTTCTGCTTCATGTCATACTGTCATCTGCTTCACATCAAGCACTTACAGCAAAACCACACACCAACACAAATGCTACACAGAGAACCTCATGAAAGTTAAGCATCTTAGCATCTCTTTATGCATAGGTATGATTTACATTATCAGGCTATTTGCATTAGTGCCCATATTCCCCAATGAATTCTAGCCTGCACACCTCTTTGGCTCTTCTGTTACCACCAACAGTTCTCTGACATATCACATCATTTAATTTAAAGAAATATGGTGTGATTAATACTGACTTTTCTTATTTTCTTCACTGGATTACATCATTCCTCAGTCCCAACCTGATTTACATCAGAAAACACTGTTGGTCCAGTTATGCCAGTTTTAAACCAGTTTTCGTTGTATTAATAGGAACTACCAGCACTGAAATACTTACGTTTACCAGTGGCTCATATTAGTTTGGTGCAGTAATTTGTAACTTACTTATATTGCAAAGTGTTTTAATACAGATAAACCTTTATTCATGTAGCAACAGGACATGGGGAAATGGATTCAAGCTGACAGAAGGTAGATTTAGGTTAGCTATTAGAAGCTCTTCCCTGTGAGGGTGCTGAGGCGCTGGCACAGGGTGCTCACAGAAGCTGTGGCTGCCCCATCCCTGGCAGTGTTCAAGGCCAGGTTGGACACAGGGGCTTGGAGCAAGCTGCTCTAGTGGAAGGGGTCCCTGCCCGTGGCAGGGGTTGGGAATGGATGAGCTTTAAGGTCCCTTCCGACCCCAACCATTGTGTGACTGTCACGGAGGAGACAGAGGCGGGTACGAGTTATGAGGCAACCGCCGTTCCCCTTCCTTCAGCAACGCTAACGCTGAACAAGCCCCTGAGGGCGCCCGTCTGGCCCCGCCCCCGCCACCTGCGGCAGCCCCTGAGGGGAGCCGGGGCTCCCGCTGCTCCGCTACCTCAGCGCCACCGGCCCAGCGCCGCCTTTCCGCCATGGACAGCGGGGGCCCGCACCGCATCGCGCCGCAACCGAGCTCGGGCCCCGACCTCCCTCCACCGCTCCGGTTACCGCTGAGTGAAGCCGAGGAACCGTGTGGAGGCCGCCTCTGCGCCGCTCAGCTCCATGCGGACGCCCAGCCGCAGGCCTCACCCCTCCAGCGTACGGAGACGCGGCTTCGGCCCGCGCGGGAGCAGCGGCGGGAGCTCCGCGCGCACATCCCGCCACACGGCCGCCGCGCACCCGCCCCGGCCCGTCAGCCACTCATGCGCCGCCGCGGCAGCGCCCGCCGGGAGCTGTAGTCCCGGGAGCTCCGTACCGGGAGCGAACCCCTCCGCCCGCCTGCGGACTGTGCGCTGGGAGTGAGGCTTAACACTCCTGCGTCAGTAAAGGCTCATAGAATGTACTCTCAACCTGCTCCCACACAGCCCAGAAGCTTTAGAAGCACAATCACCTCACAGACTGAGGGGCTCTGCCATGTTCAGTCGCAGTCACCTCACAGCCTCATGGGCTCTGCTATGTTCAGCTGCGGTCACTTCACAGCCTCATGGGCTCTGCTGTGTTCAGCTGCAGTCACTTCACAGCCTCGTGGGCTCTGCTGTGTTCAGTCACAGTCACCTCACAACCTCATGGGCTCTGCTATGTTCAGCTGCAGTCACCTCACAGCCTCATGGGCTCTGCTGTGTTCAGTCACAGTCACCTCACAGACTGATGGGGTCTGCCATGTTTAACAGCAGCTGGCCAGGAGGGTGAAGCCTCACCGGGTAAGAGATAAGAGCTCAGCTCAGCATTCCTGATCTAATGAAGCAGACATGCCAGGCAGCACAGAGCAGGGTCCTTGGCCTGTGAGCCAGCACCAGCCTGCTTCATCACAACTGGGCCCTACACCATCGCCACCTGTATGACTTCAACACAGAACAAACCAGCAGCACCTTCAAGCGTGTGAAGCTCTGCCCTCTGCCTTCTCCTTTTACACAGGTACACACTACTGTTTTCTACCTTTTCAGAAAGTAAACATAGCTCATGCTTGCCCTGAGACACAAACCCTGGAGTAGGGTTGGAACCCCCGCACTGGGAATCAAACCATGGCACAGCGACCGAAGGTATTCTTACTATGTGAGGACTGCCTTTAAAACTTCTCAGTAGGAGCTGAAACCAGTATTACAGTCAAGTACTATGGCTAAAGATGAAGCAGTGAATAGCTTCCTGTGAGGGTGGTGAGGCATTAGAACAGGTTGCACAGAGAAGCTGTGGCTGCCCCATCCCTGGCAGTGTTCAAGGCCAGGTTGGACACAGGGGCTTGGAGCAAGCTGCTCTAGCGGAAAGGGTCCCTGCCCATGGCAGGGGGTTGGAACAGGATGAGCTTTAAGGTTCCTTCCAACACAAACCAGTCTGGGATTCTATGATTCTGTAATGTTTTGCTAGAGTAACAACTTCCCAACCATATGTTAGATGACTGCTGTTTAGACAAATTTTTTCAGTAATTTCAATTGCTTTTATGTTTTGTAACGAACTGCATTGTGATACTGTGTATTGCTAAGTACTGCAGCCACCTACGTAGTAAACTGTAACGGGTTATTACATGATGTGATTTGGTATATAATCTTACCTTTCTTTACAGCAATTATTACACAATAGTAACTTCAGGTAATATACAAAGACTCTACTTTGAGGTTTGAATTT